CACACACACACACACACACACACACATTCAAACTTCTTGCTCTCACCTCCAAAGCCACTTCTCACTCACGCATTCCTCTCCCAGTGTCCCCAACCACAGGTCCTCTCAGTTCTACCAATGATGCCAAACTCATTTGCTGCTTGTCCAAATATTTTCTTCACACACTTCTCCTTGTGCATGGACGCTGACCTGTACTACCCTCTCCCAGTTCAAATACCTTCTCCAGACCCACTTCTGCCATGACACCTACAATAAATCAGCCACTGTTTGAACTGCTAAATAGAAAAAAGTTGGGTGAGTTGATATCTATTTATATTAATACACAACACCTCTGTATCTGTATGTGTATACATGTATACAGTGCATAGCACAACAGGATTTCTAGGTGCTACTGTAATATAAATAACAAAATCCAAGAAACTCAGCTCAGATAATAAGACTCTCTCACCTTCCCATGCTGTCCTGCTCTTTCATAGCAGATTACTACAGCTTCCCACATTTCCAGCTTCTCAAAGGTCTGTAGAGCTGAACTTGTGCACCCCAGTTCAAAGAGTAAGCTTGCAAGTTGTCGCTGAAAGTCAAAATAATAGGAAAAAAGTTAGATGCATGTTCATTATCATTTTTAGAAAAGATGTTACAGGCATTTCTGGCCTGAACAGAAAACACAAAAAATACGAGAAACATTTCTCCTGAAATTTGTAGCCTAACTTTCAAGACACATGAGGTTGGGATAAAGTTTGGATAAAGTACAACTTCTGGATGATTAATCCCAATCAAACTTCTAAATTTTGTTCATCACTGACAAATCATCCTAATAAAAATTCCTCTGTATTGTTTCAAATATATTTAAAGTCAACTTGCCCACACAATGTAACAATCTCCATAAATGATTTTTATGTGGAAAAAATTGGAAAAATTGAGAGCTTCTTCCAGAAGGCACATCAGTCCAGTTTGAGCAGCCATACAAATCTGATTTAAAGGTAAGACACAGATTTGAGAGCAGAAGCATTGCAATACAATATTTATTTAACTTTTACAAATGAGTAATTCCATTTTAAACTAACCTATTAAGCCAGGGATGGGCAAACTACGGCCCGGGGCCGCATCCGGCCCTTCAGATGTTTTAATCCGGCCCTCGAGCTCCTGCTGGGGAGCAGGGTCTGGGGCTTGCCCGCTCCGGCGCTCCAGCTGGGGAGCAGTGTCGAGGGCTTGCCCTGTTCCGCATGGCTCCTACAAGCAGCTCCTACACGTAGGGGCAGCCAGGGGGCTCCGCACGCTGCTCCTGCCCCAAGGGCCGCCCCCACAGCTCCCATTGGCCAGGAACCACGATGCCTGTGGATGGGGCAGCGTGCAGAGCCACCTGGCTGCGCTTCCGTGTAGGAGCCAGAGGTGGAACATGCCGCTGCTTCCGAGAGCTGCTTGAGGTAAGCACCGTCTGGAGCCTGCACTCCTGGATTCCCCTACGCCCCAACCCCCTGCCCTAGCCCTGATCCCCTTCCTGCGCGCCGAACTCCTCGGTCCCAGCCCGGATCACCCTCCTGCATCCTCAACCCTTCATGCCCAGCCCCACCCCAGAGCCCACACCCCCCAGCCGGAGGCCTCATCCCCTCCCGCACCCCAATCCCCAATTTCGTGAGCATTCATGGCCCGCCATACAATTTCCATACCCAGATGTGGCCCTCGGGCAAAAAAGTTTGCCCACCCCTGTATTAAGCTGTGTTTTCTAGACTTTGAAGTTGTTTTTTTTTTAAAAGAGATTAATATAGCAATATCCCCTTCAGTTTTAAAGAAATTATAAACTTGCTTTACCATATATAAAATACACAATTTTATTTGTGGAAACATATAGAAATTTACTAAGTAAGGCCCCAATCCTGCAACGAGATAATGGAGGCAAACCCCCTAAGCTTGTTCGGAGCCCAAATTAATTTAGTGGAGCTCTATGCAGGTGCAAGCATCCACCTGTGAGCATCTCACTACAGGACTGGGATCTATAGCCTCTGCAATTTGACAAGTATTCATACACATATGGTAGTGATAACACCATCTTATTACAGCAATAGCAATTCTGCATAAATGTATACCATAATATAATTTAAATATGTTACAAAGTATTTATTTTAATCTGGATACTAATTATTTAGGGAAAATATTTAATTCCACATACAGGAAATTTTAAAATTTAATTTACTTTCTGGGTCAAATTTGGTAAAATTTAGAGAGAGATAATGACTATAGTTAAGACTGCCACACTTTCCATAATACACCTCTATTTTAGCATTTCTAACATTGACTTAGAAAATTGGTTTGGACTGAAACCACATTTACTCTGACAACTGGAAATGAAAATTAGGTTTGATTGTGTTTATTTGAAGTGTTTGTTGAAAGATTATATGTGGAATAATTTGGGGAACACTGGAAGAAATGATGATTGGTTAAGATAGTATGCATACTATCAAAAGAGGAAAAACTCTCATAAAACGGAAACATTTAAATATAAATAAAATGCATGATTTAGGGAAATCTTTTGTCCTCAAAGCCTTGAACCTCATTTTAATAGTTTTCAAGTTTAGGGTTAAATATAATAATACCAGATAAGACTAAGCACAGTCTGAAATCTTTCAAAGAGCATGACCTTCCACTTAAAATTAAAATGTGCTGGAAAAAAATGCCCTCTTCATCCTACAAAAAAAGAAGGTGCACAACTAGAAAATAAGAGTGCTTCAGCTTTGGCAGTCCTCTTGTGGGATGAGGTATCAGATTCCACAGGGGAAAAGAGGGAATTCTTAAGAAAATCCATCACATAGTGGAGAAGGGGAGTGGGTCTGGACCAAAGCGAAAGGCCAACATCTAGGAGGCAGAACCTTATTGAGGTATACGAGGACTTCAAGCTTACGTGGAAAATGGAAACAAACAGGGTTATCTCACCCACTGACCCAGAGTACTCTGGCCATGACCCACCTCCTATAAGACCTGGTCTACCTCACTAATGGGTAGGTGGAGAGACAGGAAGCAGACCCCTAAGAATGGCAACCATCCCTTTTCATTTATGGTATTTTGGTAACCGTAGAACACCCTAACTCTATTTGCTCCTTTTTCTGTTGAAGAATTATTATTCTGTTTTCCATTAAAGCAAAAAAGGAAAAGACCATACAGAAAAGCTGTTTTGCAAGCAAACATCTCTAAGCAAGCAGTCAATTCTGTGTATGATAGAAACGTATATAAAAAAGCTGCACAATTTCTAGAATTTGATTTCTTTAAAAAAAAAATCTACATATTCCTATATTGTTAGGTTAATCCAATTTTTTCAACAAGTTTTCCAATTTATATATGGTAACATGCAGCAGACAGTGGGTTTCTACTGCAGCTTCTAGGACATGGTACTTCACAAGATAGCATGCAATATCAAATATAATTTGATGGTATCTAGAATAAATGTCATATTATTAGCTTGTACCTCTATGGCCCAGTGTGGAGGCACCTGACAACTGTAGAAAATCTTCAGTCGTTCAGATACCAATGTTTTCTGGTCTTCAAACTGATCTGCAAGTGCCTACAAATACAAAGCATATTCATTTATTATTTAGATTTATTTAAGTATAAAGAGGTGCCTGAGACTGTAGGTGCCCTTGATATAAGCTATAAGACAGCAGCTGTAACAATATTAGGTATTCAAGTGTAATTTATCAGCAGTACCGGGTTTACAATGGCGCCAGTGGCACCATGGAGCCTGGCCCATACTCAGAAGGGGCCCCAGCCTGCTCCGCTTGCACTGCCCCCGAGACCCTGCTAGCCCGGCTGAGGCTCCTCTCTGCCCTCTGGCCCCACCCGCTGGCTCCTATCTGCCCCCTTGCCAGACCCCAGTGCACCTCCAGCTCCGGGCAGTCTTTGCTTCCCACTACCTGTGGGGCCCTGCCTGTCTCCCCAGAGGTGAGTCACCTGGGACTGGTGCAGAAGCCTGGCCAGTCTCGGTCAGTTTGGGGACAGGTGGGACAATGTGGGGGGCTTGGCTGGGCCCCGCCAGGCAAGTGGGTACTGAGGGAGCGCGGCCGGGGCAGGCCCTGGCCTGGCTGATCGCGCCACTCCCGAGGGATCAGAGTGATTCCCAGCCCCTGGACCAGCCCTGGCTGCACTGCCAGCTCAGCCTGGCAAACATAGTTGCTTCCCAGCAGGGCTGGTGAGTGCAGGTGGGAGGCAGGGCGTGGGGGAGTGAGTTTCTAAGGGACTTGGGGGGGGAGGTGTGTGCTGGGCTGTGAGGGGGTGGGGAAGATGTGTGTGTTGGGGCACTAGGGAGTGGGGGTTCTGTGGGGGGTTCTGGACAGTTGTGGTGGGGCTGTGGGCAGGGGGCACTGGGCAGAGGTGGTGTTGTGCAGGGTGCTGTGCATTTGTGGAGGGAGTCTGGAGGGGCACTGGGCATAATGGGTCCAGAGGCAGGGGGGGCTCTGGCCATAGGGATTCGGGGTGTTTGTGTTTGTGTTGGGTGTGGGGGCTGTGTGGCATGGCATGGGCCTGCCCCCGAGGGGAAGGGGCATGCTGGCACCACAGGGCCAGGCGTGCCACTGTGCATCTGGCAACTGCAGGTTTGTAAATAGTGTCCTCTCCCTGGGCTAGGCGGAGCGGGGAGGGCCCTGCCATGCCATGCCCCATTGCCCCTGGCTGGTCCCTCACTCTGGAGACTGACTTCCCCATGCCATGCTCCACTCCACTGCCTGCATGGGGGCCCACAAATATGTTTGGAGCCAGACACACAAAAGCTTAATCCTGCCCTGCTTATCAGATGCTATAATGAGATAAAAATAGACATTTTTAATCAAGGAGATGGGCTACACTTCCATACAAGACAATTAATCAAATTTAAACCCTCCATTATATACTAAAATATACATAAAATCAAACTTCCAAGAGCATACAAACCTTATCAAATTCAACAGAACCTTAGGCGTTGGCTACACTGGCACTGTACAGCGCTGCAACTTGCTGCGCTCAGGGGTGTGAAAACACACACCCGCCCCCCGAGCTCAGCGAGTGCAGCGCTGTAAAGTGCCAGTGTAATCAGAGCCTGCAGCGCTGCACGCTCGCTCGCAGCGCTGCAAGCTATTCCCCTCGGAGAGGTGGAGTACATACAGCGGCAGCGCTGTGAAGTCCTGAGTGTAGCCAAGGCCTTACATTGCATAAAGCAAGAACAAGAAAGAATCAAATTTCTAATTCCCACCCAAACAATTTAGCAATTTAAAAAACCCAAACAATAAAAACCCTGCCATTATGCATATGTTGAGTAAATGCTGCTATGTAAGAATATTTGACAAAAGATAAGATGACAGGAGTTAAGGTGATATCAGCTTATATATTTCAGTGCCTAGTCAGCTTTTTCTGAGAGAGAGAACACTGAATTACCTAAAGTCTGAAGTTTGTAGGGAAAAAACACACCAAAGTAAAGCCCACTGTTCTCGAAGTCAGACTTTCATAACCACACCTCTCACATAGAATACACTGCTCTAATTGGGAAGACAACTCAATTCAAGTTTTTCCTTCAGGACAAATGTGAATTTATGAGAGAGAAATGTATGTTCTTGCCTCCCATCTATCTCCGTAAGTTAGTTTTGCACAGTAAACCTGTCTCAAGTCAACATATAGAAATTCAACAGAACTAGCAGGATAAGAAAAAAAAAGTGTGAATTATTTACAACTAGAAAGTAAATTAGGAATTTTAAAGAAAGAATCTCCTTCAGCTGGATGTACCAATAAATCCACATATTTAAAATGGAAGTGCATGTAAGGCCAGAGATAGGTTACTTGCTTTCACATAATTGGTCTGACCATCAAATCTCATACTGAACTCAACCACTGAAAGCAGAATCCTAAAAGGGCTCCTCTTGCCACTATGTACGCACAGTTCAGCACAGAGACAAGTTAGAGACATGTCTGGTCCTTTCTCCCTCAATTCTTGTCCACTAGGGCAGAAAATGCAAATACTCCAAAGAAGTGGAGAAGATGGGTTGTGATCTGTGGAGGCAATACATTTTGAAAACTCTAGTTACAAATTTACTAACCTAGCTCAAGAATTTCAAAAATAGGTGCCTAATGTTAGCAATCTCAGTGATATGATTTTAAAATTACTGAGCAACTTGGAAATATCAGTGACTTCCAGCAGTGCTGAAACAATTTTTATAGGGGGGTGCTGAGAGCCATTGAACCAAACTGTAAACCCTGTATATAATGGAAACCACTTCAAGCCAGGGGGTGCAGCATCACCCTCAGCACTCCTAGTTCCAGCACCTATGGTGACTTCAGTGGATGCTGTTGGGTGCTTTGCACTTTTGAAAATCAAGCCAGTGATTTAGGAGCCTGACTGTGGATTACAAGCCTAGCTTTAAACAGTTATTTTTTTAAATCTTGGCCTTTGTTTAAATTCTCTCCCGTGAAATTATTTCTATGGAGCCCTGGTCTCAGAGATTAATCAGAATTTACCTCAGGCGCCTGGCTGAGGTGTATTTACAGTATCTTCCATCAAACCACAAAGAAACAGACTAGTAATGTCACATTCTTATGCATAGTTCTATATAGTACAAGGAGGGATTCAAACCATTTTTTAATGCGCTGTGCAAAACAAGATGATTTAGATAAAGAAGTTAATTGACCACGGTCTATAGTTGCAAACTGTATTCTGACATTACTTAGAAGTGTAGGCTACATTTTTCTGTAAACATTCCAGTAAAGCAGAAGATAACAGTAAAACTGTCCAGTTCATTAGGTGTGTGTTATTTATTTTACAAGAGCTGTGCAGGAATCGGAATTTCTGTTTGGTGGGAAATTCTGTGATTTTTCAGGTTTGGTTTTATTCCGAATTGAAACAAAACAAACAAAAAATTTCATAATGTTCTGGAAAAGACTAGTTTTGGGTCAAGTGCTCCATTTCATTAAAATCTAAATGTTTTGTTCAGATTTAGAGTTTTTGTTGTATATATTATAGTGTATAATATAATTTAAAAATTTATTTTATATTAAGTAATTTTGAAACAACAACAAAAATTCAAAAAAATTCTGTGACAGGCCGGGTCAAAGAAACCCCCTTGGGACTGCCACCTGATGTGCTGAGACTATCTCTAAGCCTGTTTTCCCTCGCAGCTTCAGTACCTTGCCTGGCTGTGCCAGACTCGCTAGCCTGCTACAAATAGACCCAGAGCTGAACCACGTCCCCCAAAAGCTGCAGGCTTAACTGAAAACAGCTTAAGAAGTGCTCCTGTCTCGAACACTCAGATATCCAGTTCCCAATGGGATCCAACCCCAAATAAATTAGTGTTGCTCTGTATAGAGCTTATACAGGGTAAACTCAAATTGTTCATCTTCATAACACTGATAGAGAGATATGCACAGCTGCCCCCCCCCCTGTATTAATACTTCCTCTGGGTTAATTAATATGTAAAAAGTGATTTTATTAAATATAAAAAGTAGGATTTAGGTGGTTCCAAGTAATAACAGACAGAACGAAGGTCCAGCAATCACTCACAACCCTGTAGTTACTGTCCTTTGTTCCAGTTTCTTTCAGGCATCCCATTGGGATGGAGAGGCTAGCTGAAGACCAAATGGGAAGGGTTTCCAGGGGCTTATATGGTCTCTCTCTTGTGGGTGAAAACCCCTTGTGTTCTCCTGTGCAGAATCACAGTTACAAGATGGAGTTTTGGAGTCACATGGGCAAGTCACATGTCCGTGCATGATTCAGTTCTTTACAGGCCAACGCCATTGTCTACATGTTGGTTTCAACATTCCCAGGAAAGCTCAGATGTAGATTGGCGTCTCCCAGGGTCTATTGTTAGCTAAGTACTCCCAATTACCTGAATAACCCCTTCATACTATGTTGACCAAATCTGTCTTATGTGCTTCCTACAGCAAACACTTTAAATACAAGCAGAGCCAACGCTCATAACTTCAGATATAAAAATGATACATGCATACGAATAGGATGAATACATTCAGTAGAACATAACCTTTGCAAAGATATGTTACATGGCATATCTAGCATAAAACATATTCCACTTATGTCATATTTACACTCATAAGTATATTTCTATAAATCATTATGGGGTCCAACGTCTCACATTCGTTTTCAACGATAGCAAAATGCTTCGTTTTATTTATCTTTAAAATGTAATTTCATTGAAATTGACATGGATTCCTGCAGAAAGCTTTAATTTTGAAGCAACGGCATTTTCTGGAAGCAAAAGGATTCATCAGAAAATGCCCAACTAACTCCATCTTCTATGCTGGATGCTTGGAAATAGCTGAATGTAAATAAAATGCTGCATTAGAATATGACTTTTTTTTTTTAAATTAGACTCCCCGCCCCCATCCAACAGAAAGAAAGAAAGTAATGACTGTACTCTGTCTGCAGTTCCAAATTACTACACATGACAATATCTGAAGATTAAAAACTCCCTAGATATGAAAAAATGCAACAGACCACAGCAGCTCTTGTAATTCATAGATTTAAGAGCTCCCAAGTATGTTTTAAGAACAGGGAGCTGTTATGGTTGAGTATGCCAATGATCTGTGGAT